ATTTTTACTTGGTAGTCTTTTAACCTTTAAATATATGAATACAATGATTACTGCCCATGTTGTTCTCCTCTACACAGATGACTCGTGTACTTCTGATCCCCTTCATTTTAGAAATAAATATTATTTTGTATATGCTATAATTCATGCATATGAAAAGCCCTCTGTGTCAGTTTTATCCCTTCTGGGTTCAGATCTAGGAGCTGCCAGTCTCTTGACAACGCATAGTATACATTTAGATTTTCATTAAATAGCTTTTCAGATGTCAACCAGGAGCTTCGATTTTAAGTCATTTTGTCATGAGTAGTGGGAGCCTGGTCATTTATTTCAAAGACCACACAATTCTTTGATATTTATGGAGTAACCTATTTGTTAGCTCCCACTGGCCTCCTGATTTAATTTTCTCCTCCTTTGTCTCTTGGGGCTGTGAGAAAGAGAGCAAAAAGTGAGTGAGGCCAGGAGAGGGCCTTTTAGATTTGGTTTCTCTCCTCCTTGGTCTCTGCTACTATTGATAAAACAATCCTGATGCTCTGAGTATACAGAAGCCCTTTGCCTTAATGGAAAACTTTGGGGGATTTTATTATTTTTCCATGAAAATAGGCAACAGTAAAATTTAGAACATTAAATTACCTAAAAGCAAATGGAGTTTTTATCTTTCCACAGCTCTTAAGATTCCTTAGTGTCAAATCTATCGTTTAATCAAATTCCTGACAGTAGCTTTGTCCGAGGCTCCCCATTGCCTCGGACGTGGGTATTGTTAAGTGAAGTATTAGGAGCATGGGTCGATTCGGGGCTGGGGGCTGGGGCCAGAACTGCTGAGGTTTGAATTCCCACTTTGCTGCTTCTTGTCAGTGAGACTTTAATTTCCTCAACTGCTATAGGGAAGTTAATAATAGTACCTACCTTATAGGCTTGCAGTAAGCATTCCATGAATTAATTCCTGTAAAATGCTTTCCAGCAGTATCTGCTGCATAACACATGCTCGCTAAGTGCTCTTGTATGGTTGTAGTATTGGTTGAGGTCATGGTTTTATTTCTTCACCCAGAAGAAGAAACAGTCACGACATAAACAGATGGTCTTCAGAAGGCAACCCACATCTTCAGTAAACTGCTTTTAAAGTTGGGGAGCCACCTAATGCATTTTTTTCCACTCCGCCCTACTATTTAGAGAACGATATAGATCTAGCATTTTGTTCTCTGTGGAACTTATAATGCCACCACTCTATAAGAGCTGTTGGAAATGTATTCTCAAGTTGTCCGTCATCAGGCTTAAAAGAGCTTTCTTATTCTAGCTTAAGGGGTCCCTGCTCTTAGGTGTTTAATCATGGAAGCGTGGGCACAGAGATATGTTGTGACACTGTCCTCATAACAGGTGTGTCCCTGTCCTGCTGTGTGAGCACTGGCCCCTACCTTGGCACCTGTTCCCAATCTGGAATTCTGGACAGGTTGGTCTTAGCATTCTGACTTCCCACTTTCTAAAGAGATGGGGTTGCCAGAGAAAGCAATGCCATTTTTGGTATAATTGTCTGAGGGATCCCTAAGATGTTCAGTTATAAACTAGGGAAAATGGTAAATAGCTGAACATACCTTCTACTATTGTTGAGAGTAATCTTGGCTTATGGCTAACTTCAGCAATGGGTCTGGTAACTCAATAGGAGACTTCATTTACTTTCAGTTGAATACATACTGTGGTCATTTTTCACTGCAGGGTGTTTAACAGTTGGTTTCTTTTTTCCTCCTGAATTGGAAGCACTCGTATAGAGACCCTCCCTTTATTCAATAGCTCTTGATTTGTTCATTCAGTTGGTTTTACAAAATACTTTTCACTGATGAGAATGCCTGTCATTTATTGAGCACCTGCTATATCTAAAACATTCTGCTGAGCTGCATGTATAAATGTAAACAGTTGTTTATAGGACTTCAACAAGATACACTGTCTTTTTTCTGGTAAGGTAGGGTAAAGGCAGAAAAGTTAATAACTGATTATGATGTAAGATCAAATAAGACAAGTCAGTCTTATAATTGATGTTCAGACAAGGGGCCACCATAGGGACATCAGTTATTTCCAGTTATAAGGCCTGGTTGTATTTGCCTAAGTGGTACCATTTGGGCTAAACTTAAAGGAAATGGCAGGAAAAGGAGCTGGATAGAGGGGCAGCAGTCTACACTAGGCGGAAGGAACTATACTGTGCAAAAGCCCAGGTGTGTGGCAGGTCTGGCAAGGGTGGGCTTGGGTGGTAGGAGATGAGGCTAAAAGTAGTTTTTCCAGGTGCTTGTATGCCTTGCTTCAGAGATGATTTGAGTGATAAATGGCCGGGCGCAGTGGCTCAAGCCTGTAATCCCAGCACTTTGGGAGGCCAAGGCGGGTGGAACCCGAGGTCAAGAGATCAAGACCATCCTGGTCAACATGGTGAAACCCCATCTCTACTAAAAATACAAAAAATTAGCTGAGCATGGTGGCGCATGCCTGTAATCCCAGCTACTCAGGAGGCTGAGGCAGGAGAATTGCCTGAACCCAGGAGGCGGAGGTTGCAGTGAGCCGAGATCGCACCATTGCACTCCAGCCTGGGTAACAAGAGCAAAACTCCGTCTCAAAAAAAAAAAAAAAGATAAATGGTCATTGGAGATTTCTCTGGAGGGAGAGGGAGGTTAGGTCTTTAATTCTGAAAAGCGACTTTTGATGTGTACATCATAGACCACAGAGGTCCAGACTGCAAACCCAAGCTCCAGACTGACAGAACCATTGTGATAATTTGTGAGTCTGAGGAAAGGCTGAACCAGTAGCATCAGGAATGAAAAGGAAAAGGTGCATTTGGGCAAACTTTTAAAGGCCTAAGTGACAGAATTTGGTAACTGGTTTACTATGGAAGAAAGGAAGCTTGAACTGTTCAGAATGACAGCCTTCTAGGTGAGGTGGCCAATAAAACTACATGCCTAATAATTAAGCTGTGAACATAGAAGACAAAACAGGTTTGAGCACTGGGTCGGGGAACCTATAATACAGGGTTAGTTATGTGTCATTTTATGGCCTTTACAAGATACCCATGTGGATATATTCTTTAAACAGAAATTCTGGTCCAGCAGAAAGGAGTGAGACTTGGATACAGAAGTTAAGCCTTAGCTTATAAGAAATCTGTGAGGCCTTAAGGGAGTGAGCACTCTGCCTAGGAGAGTAGAGTGAGAAGATGTGAGGACAGAGGACCGACAGATGCTTCCCATTTAAGGAGCCAGCGGTGGAGGCTCCAGAAAGACTGGGATCCCAGAAGAGACCTTCAGCTGAGACTGGCTAGATTGAAACTGGCAGATGCTATAAACAAGAAGATTCTTTTAAATAGGATAAGAACTCTGATCCTTAAATTAAATATCTTAAAAATTTTTTTAATGTGGACATTTCCAAACTTCAGAAGTAGAGAGAAGAGTATAATGACCCATCATGTAACTGTTATTTGGCTTTTGTTATTGTAAATACTGAATGTCTCTTTTTATCCCACTGCCTTTCTGGGGAAGGAAAGGAAGACAGAGTACTTTAAAGCAGTATCAGACTCATGTCACTTCCCTTACACTTTAGTTTGCACAAATTCATGAGGACAATTAATTTTTACACAACTTGAATAAATATGATATTATCTTACCGAAGTTAAAAATTTTCTTAATGTCATCTAAAAAGCGTCCATTTTATTCAAATAATTTGAAGTTTTTGAGAGCCTATTGGTGTTCTTTGTTGTTATTGTTGTTGTTGTTCTCAAGACAGTATATCACTTCATCGTCCAGGCTGGAGTGCAGTGGCATGACCTCGGCTCGCTACAACCTCTTCCTCCCAGGCTCAAGTGATCCTCCTGCCTCAGTCTCCCAAGTAGCTGGGACTACAGGCACACACCACCATGCCTGGCTAATTTTTTGTTTTTTTTTTTTTGTAGAGACAGGGTTTCGCTATGTGGCCCAGGCTGGGCACACGGTAGTTTGGGGTTGCCCCTGGGATCAAGTGATCCGTTTGCCTCAGCCTTTCCGAGTGTTGGGATTACAGACATGAACCACTGTGTTTGGCCAATGTTACTTTTTAATTGCATAGAAGTTAGCTGTTACTCCAAAGGCCCATTTAGGAAATGGGCAGAGTACTGCGAGGAAGATGGTAAAATGGCTGTCTGCAGGAGGGATGCTTCTCCCATATGGGGCATAAGAGTTTTGGTGGGAAGCTGTGACTTCTCTTATATACACACTTATCCCCTGGGAATAGCAACAGAGATATTTTATTGGACTTTCTGTCTTTAGATCATTTTAATTAAACGTATGCAATGATAACACCACAGGTTTTACCTCCTCTGATCCACATACCATCCAACTACCTGGAGCAGTAGTCCTTAACCAAGACATGTGGCTCTATCTAGAGACATTTTTAATTGTTATGACCTTGAAAGGAAGGGGATACTTACATCTAGTGGGAAGAGAATAGGGGTACACAGCAGGACATGCCCCCCGTAATAAAGACTTACCCTGTCCAAAATGCCAATAGTGCCAAGGCTGGGAAGCCCTGTGTTAGAGAAATAGCAGAGAAGAACCACCACTCTTTTCTATCTATTGTTACATCACATGTTTGTGTACCAGGTTGTGGTTAAAAATTTTTCTCTTTTCCTTGGAGAGAAGTTAATGTCCCTGGTAGTGTTTTACCTTTGATCATCTGCATCACCTAAGCTGTGTTTGGCCAGGTCTTTGAACCTAGAAAACTTCATTTTCATTTCAAATGAAAACTGGAAGTTTTCCTTTTCTTTGTGTTCATGGACTTCAGAGTAAGGTAGAGTGAACTTTCTCAAGCTGCATTCATTGGTCTGAGCAAAGTTCTCTCCCTCGGAAAGAGATGGTAGCTTGGGGGTGCTATTAAACAGGCAGGTGGGGGTTTGTTAGATCAAGATGTAATCTTTCTTCAGTCTGATTTTAAAATGAGCAGTCATTTGTAGTAATTATTAAATGAGAAGCATAAATTAAGTATTTTACTTTCTTTATTTGTAGGAAATACAATTAGAGCATGCAAAACAAGCCTTTGTGCAACGGGACAATGCTAGGACTGGGCGAGTCACAGCCATCGACTTCCGAGATATCATGGTCACCATCCGCCCCCATGTCTTGACTCCTTTTGTAGAAGAATGTCTAGTAGCTGTAAGTCATAACTTGCCCTAACGAAGTGGTTTAACTCAACAAATAAGGAATTATAAAAACAATTCTTATAAGTTATATAGTGTTTTTTTCTGTTTCAAACACTAACATTTTAATGTAATCACATATGTTACTAAACTCAGAAAGAGTATGTTTTGGCTAGTTTTAGTGGGTAGGTTAACTTGTTGTCTGGGTAGTATGAATATCTTCGAGAACTATATTAACTGGTTAAAGATAAAAGGAAAAACAAATTTGTGATCTCATGTTAATTTTGCTTTATATTTTGAAGTATATTAAGTACTAATTTTTGCCAATCTTGTGATGCTCTAAGGCAAAAAAACACCACCACCAAAAAAGGGAGCACACACATAAATCATTTGTTAGAGTATTCAGCACAACAGAAACCCCAAACCTTAGATTCCCTTTCACCCTGCATCTGTTGATGCCACAGGGGCACATGTGACAGCAGAGCCCTGCAGGTGTGTTTCATGGAGCCTCCCTTCCCTTGGTGTCAGCTGCTGTCCTTCCCTCAGGGACCCTGGGGATGGTGGTGGTTCTTAAGCCCTGCTCGTGGAGCACTAGAATCACCACTGATAATTATTGGAAATACAGATTCTGAGATCTCTTCTAGGCCTATCATACACCATCTACAGGCAGTGAGGTCTTGGAATCTAATTTGTAAAGCTTCTGGGTGATTTTGGTAATCACTCAGTTTTAGGACCAGTACCCAATGGTAACTCTCCTTTTGTTAATCCCAGGGAGAATGCTGCTTTCACCATCATCTGGGTTTCCCACAATGCTTACCATAGGCAGGAACTCAGAGTAACCTTTCAGTTTCCTTTCTTCCTCTGGGTGCTTAGTTCTGGAGACATGGCATTCTGACAAGGCCTTTTCCATTCTGACACTGTGTTAATCTAACTCCTTTTCTTGGCCCCCCCTTCTCTACTCCATTCTAAACTTACATGTTAGCTATTTTAGATAATTACTATGTGAAGATTTATGTGGTTGTTACCTTATAAAGAAGTACTTTCCTAATAAAAATATTTTGCCTTGTTAGGGAAGGATAGAATTTGAAACTCCAAACTGAAGTCCCATTCATAATGGACATTCTGTCTGTTTCCCTTGTCCCCTGTGAAGAAATATGGTTTCTTAAAAATTCTGATTATCAGAATTTTTACTAGACTTAACCCCATGAAAGCATATGGCATCTCATAATTTTACCATAACATGCTTGTTTGCTAGAAATCCTACCAATATAAAGTCTGTACCTAACTGGTTATTTATTGCTGGTTATAAGTAACTTGACAAATCTTGATATTAATGTTAGATTGACCCTTTTCATACTATGTTTGCATTCATATAATACAGTTTTGCATGCATAAGCACACACGTGTACATTATAGTTTTGCATATTTAAGCCTTTAAGATTTGCTCATTAGATGAAATAAACCAACTTATAAAACATTTCCAATTGAAATTTGAACTCTAAATTACTACTGGTCCTGTTATAATCCTACACATGTATTTATTTAGTTTTCTAGGAGTTGTGTATGGAGAGTCCAAGTGCTGGTCATGATTAGTTGCAGTTGCTTCTAAAAATCATTTATAGCTTTTTTTTTTTAATGCAAGAGGGAAATACTTGTAGTCATTTCTTCTTATACATGCATTCCTGATTACATTCAAACTAGTATTATATGTGTGTACTTCTGAATCATCTATAAATCTTTGGTATATTTTTCTTCTCTCTTGTTTTCAATTTATTTGAGGCTGCTGGAGGTACCACATCCCGTCAAGTTAGTTTCTCCTATTTTAATGGATTTAATTCACTCCTTAACAACATGGAACTCATTAGAAAGATCTACAGCACTCTGGCTGGCAACAGGAAAGATGTTGGGGTGACTAAAGGTGAGTGACAATATATCTGAGTTCTTGCCTGCTAGTATTGTGGTGTATTATTATTAGGGTGAAGAAGGCAGTGAGTACTTTTTGTTATAGATTTTTCTATCCCATTGACACATATAAACCATATGGTAACATGTGTTTTTCATCCTTTGATCAAACAAAAGCAAACAAAACAATCTTCACCAAGTTTTAAGTAAACTGAAGACAGCCTTTGAATAAGGAAAACAGGTAAGGTTCTTAAATATTTCCAAATCTTGCTACAACTGGAGCTAAATTGGCAACCTCTAAGGAAGCCTTCAGATATACATGAGGAATTCCACAAAATTGTATTGGTGACAGTGTAAGTTGATCTGTAGGATTGGAACAGGATATTATCAGCATTTTAATGGGATTTAAAAAAAACAACAACAGAATTCACTTAGGAATCCCACAGCTTCATTAATATAACCTCCTGGGAACTATGTACATGAAGTTTCATATATGATTCCTTAGTTTCCTGACTGGCAATATGAACAACATTAGAGGACACCAAACTGTATGTTCAAGAACATATTCTGCATACCCTTTCCAAATGAATGCAAGAACTAAAAAATTCTTACCCTATTTTGATCGACTTGAACTCTACAACTGATAATAATAAAGTTTTATGAAGTTCACTCATTCCAGTGTTTTGAGTTAATGCTGAATTTAGTGGCTATTTCTTCTTGAATCTTTCCCTTTTAACTTTTCTTCCATACAGAGGAGTTTGTTCTGGCAGCTCAGAAATTTGGTCAGGTTACACCCATGGAAGTTGACATCTTGTTTCAGTTAGCAGATTTATATGAGCCAAGGGGGTAAGTTGGCTTTTTTTTTTTTTTTTGAATTAGCTTAATAAAAGGAGGTTAGGTGGTGGGGGTAGGAGGAGGGCAGCGTTCAGGAGAAAAAGAAGCCAAATTGAAGGCCATGCTGAAATATGGGAAATGAAAAAAGTAACATTTTTAAATTCTATTATATAAATTGTAATAAATTGGTATTTTTGTTGCTTATGTTTATTTTTCCCCTACAGACGTATGACCTTAGCAGACATTGAACGGATTGCTCCTCTGGAAGAGGGAACTCTGCCCTTTAACTTGGCTGAGGCCCAGAGGCAGGTGAGCAAAGAGGAGCAAACTTGCATTCCAGTGTTTCCCTGGCAGGATGGCCCAGCCCCATTCCACTTGCCGTTGCCTTTGTGGCATTGGTATCTGACTTAATCATTTTTCTGTTTTGTGCCAAAAACCTAGACTAATTTTAAAGGCTGTAAGGAGAAATTGCTCAGAAATGGTGTGATGAGAGCCTGGGCACAGTGGCTCACATCTGTAATCCCAGCAATTTGGGAGGCTGAGGCAGGTGGATCATGAGGTCAGGAGTTTAAGACCAGCCTGGCCAAGATAGTGAAACCCTGTCTCTACTAAAAATACAAAAAAAAAAGCTGGGTGTGGTGGCAGACGCCTGTAGTCCCAGCTACTTGGGAAGCTGAGGCAGAAATCACTTGAACCCGGGGGTAGGAGGTTGCAGTGAGCCGAGATTGTGCCACTGCACTCAAGCCTGGGTGACAGGCTCTGTTTCCAAAACAAAAACAAAAAAAGGTGTGATGAACAGGTTTTTGGCATTTGCTAATTTTTTGCTAAGGTGGGGTGATTTCCTAACTGTATCAAAAGCCCACTCCAAAAACATGGAGGAGGTCCTTTATCCTTCCTTCTTGGAGTCTCATGTTGAGAGATGCAGCGAAGGAATCCCGTGTTGGTGTCACAGTGCCTGTCGGCAGCTGCACGTTGCTAAAGGAAAGCTGTCTGCTCTGCTCTGTGGCGCAGCCCTTCATCAGCGCATCGTCTAACTGCCATGCCTTCCGTTTTTCTGAATATCAAAATGAGATAATTTTGTTTAGTCTGAAGTTACAGTTTAAAGGCTTTCAGACATATTTTCTCTGTGCAAGGATTCATAAGTTATGTGGAAACAATTTTAGGAATGCTAAATTTTATTTTTTGGTTAACAGAAACCAATCTCTTGAAGTTGTGGGAGTCAGAAACTTAAGACATGGGACCTCCTTTTTTAACTCTTGCCCAGCTTTCCGTAGATCAGGATTAGAGAAGAAAACCCTTCATAGCATGTGTTGTGCTTACGTGGTGTTTGTAAAATAAATCCACTCACAGGTAAGCATAGTTTTTAGAAAAATACCTCCTTTTAGACAGAGCCATCTCTGAATTCTGTGAGACTTAACAGTTTCTGGTGTGGAGCTCTGGGTTTGTGCAGAGACGCCAGCGTGACCACAATGGGTTGATGCGGGCTACACTTTTAGGACTGTCAGGCCTTGAGCCAGGGCCCCCTCCTTTTAGCTCTTTCCCACCCAAATGCAGCGGTGAGTTTTGTGTGTAGCATGTAAGTCAAAGTAGTGGGTGTGTGCTCAGTAAATGCTAACGAGCACCTCTGGAAAACCAGCTGGCCTTGGTTAAAAGAGGAAGCCGATTTCTCTGAGTGCAGGAGAAAGAACTGTATAATCACGTGCAGAGGTGGAAGCAGCACTGCTCTCCCTTCCCTTTGATTTTTAACACTGCTTAGGAGATGATTATCTCTTCGTCTGTATGCCACCAGCTATTGTAGAAATTTGGGGATTAAGAGAAGCAGAGACTTTTTTTAAGATTCCTTTTACTCTCCAGCTGGCAGCAGCTTCCCACAATTTTTCCTTTATGCTCTTTGCAGCTTTTGAGAGTTTATGATGGGTGCTTGTTGATACTGGCCATGAAAGGGTTAGACTAGATTGATGAGATTTACAGCAGGAAATGATTGGCTGCTGCTTAGAGGTTTAGAGCAATTCAAAGTGGCCTTACCTGGAACAGGCTTTTTGCTGCATGAACCCTAGTGGGGTTCAAGCAAGGGAGGTCATCCACCTGTGGGTACAGTGCTGCCTCTTCCAGCACTGTGCAGCACTTGTAGCATTTATTCCGGACAGAGGGGTGAAGGAGTAGAGTTTTGGCTTATTTTAAGAACATGCTATAGTTCTGGCTTTGGAAAAGTTAAATAAAAGTCTAGGATTTCATTTGTCTTTTAGGAGAGGAATTAGTGGTGGTGCTAGGTCCCTCCTCCCCTCCCCCTATTATTTTAGATTAATTTCACTCATTATTTTGATGCCGGAACATTTCTAAGTATTGCATATTTATATCCCTGTGAATAAAATATTGCTTTTCTTTTGAATGTGTCTGTCAAAATGAAGGTACTATTGATTTCCATCTATATAGGGCTAGAGTTGGAAACAACTCATAGAATTTGCAGAAGAAATGTTTTGTATCTTAAAGAGGCATATTTCTATGTAAAGCTATTTTCAGTTAAGTGACTTTGAAGGAGATTCCAAATGATCTGATTGTATTAGAATTGTGTTTCATTGACAGCAACTAAAATTCAGTGGGTTGGTAGCTGGGTTAGGTGATTATTTTCATTGTTCACTGATTTTAATTATCATGACTTCTCAAAAACAAATTTTATTGAATGTATTTATTCATTCAACAGGTATTTATTAAGCACTGACTATATGTCACCCTCATTTGACAACTCTCTGTGACATAAAATTACCATCTTATTTGTGCAGACAGAGAAGTGCAGCACTCTGAAATGTTCTGGCATCAAAAACCCTGTAAGGATAATAGGTCAAAAGAACAGCAAAACAATGACTGACTGACCCGAAGTATGAATTTAGAAAAGCTGAACAAAAAAAGAGAAAAAGTAACAATTAACAGTAATACAGCCACCACGTTTTAGCTACTGTAAATATTTTGAGTACTTCTGGGTGGTAGGGAGACAGAATGTTAGTGTTAATTTTATATACATATATATGTACACATCTTACAAGCACTTTTTTTTGTGTGACAGAGTCTTGTTCTGTCACCTAGGCTGGAGTGCAGTGGCGTGATCTCAGTTCACCGCAAACTCCACCTCTCAGGTTCATGTGATTCTACTGCCTCACCCTCCCAAGTAGCTAGGACTACAGGGCATGTGCAACCACGCCCAGCTAATTTTTTGTATTTTTAGTAGAGACAGGGTTTCACCATGTTAGCCAGGATGGTCTTGCTTTCCTGACCTCAGGATCCGCCTGCCTCAGCTTCCCAAAGTGCTGGGATCACAGGCATGAGCCACTGCACCTGGCCCTTTACAAGTACTTTTAATAAAAATAAAATACATCATTTTGCACAGTCTTAAAAATTGTTTCTTAAAAAATTACCAGGAAATATTTCAAACACTTAAATAGGTAAAGAGAATCATGTAACAAATATCTATCTACCTACCATGGTCTTTTAGCCTTTGTTTCAGGCTGGTCTTGAACTCCTGAGCTCAAAGTGATCCACCTACCTTGGCCTCCCAAAGTGCTGGGATTACAGGTGTGAGCCACTGTGCCTGACCTCATTGATGTTTTTAAGTGTGCTTTTTTTTTTTTTAAGATGAGAATTTGAAAATTGGCTCATAAGATCATTTTTGGCAAAGGTTGGTTTTGATTATGTTGAAATTTGATTTTAAACATTAATAGCACTAAACTTTTTATTAATAAGAATTTATGAAATCCATTCCTACATTTTTCTTTGACATTTTAGTTGTATCATGGATTTATAACCCAGTGAGTAACGTTTAAAATTAATGTATGCTCCTTTTTGTTTTATCTTCTTTTTTATCACCTGTTTTCCTGCTCTCTGATTCCTGTGCATGTGAAGCAGAAGGCCTCCGGTGATTCAGCTAGACCAGTTCTTTTACAAGTTGCAGAGTCGGCCTACAGGTTTGGTCTGGGTTCTGTTGCTGGAGGTTAGTCATCAATGAGAGCCAAATTTTCACTTTTATTATTTCTATTATCTTTTCTCTGATTTTCCATCTTGAAATGTTAAAGGACAAAGCCTTCTTTAGTCTTCCCAATACCAGTTATCAGTCTCTACCTATGAGTAGGGCAAGAGCAAAGGAAACTCTTTTTCCCAAACCTGCATATGATCAGGGACTTAACAAGTGGCATTTTTCTCTTATCTGCAGACCAGGCCTTTCAAAGACAGCTTAGTAATGAGGCTGGGCTGTGGCAATGTGCCTTAATTTAAAATGTCTGTGACATCCTTTTATTAGGGGATACTTGAATGAAAATCCACAATTGTTTATTAAAGATATAAGAAGGGTAGTACTGTTTTAAAATCCGTATTTGAAATTCAAAACACATTTCTTTTCTCAGTCTTTTCCTTGACTTTAACCACCTTCTCCTTTGTTCTGACCTACCTTACTTCATTCTGAGATATTGATACTGTTTAATTTTAGCTGTTGGAGCCACTGCTGTGTATCCTATCGATCTTGTAAAAACTCGAATGCAGAACCAACGATCAACTGGCTCTTTTGTGGGAGAACTCATGTATAAAAACAGCTTTGACTGTTTTAAGAAAGTGCTACGCTATGAAGGCTTCTTTGGATTGTACAGAGGTTAGTGCCAAGCAGTTACTACCTGTAAGGTGAAATGATGGTCGAAGGTTTGGTTTCTCATCTCAGTGCCTGACATGAATTAGGGAGGCAGGATTAAAATGGAAATACATCAGATTCAGTTATCCATGCTAATGGCAGTAGGCTGGAGGCATCTAGGGCTTGGCTAATCAAAACAGCCTATAATCTGAAATTTATTTAATTGCTCCGTTGTATGTTTTGTTTCTTAAAATAATAAATTATTTTTATAAGCATCTTCTGTGAGTTTTTGAAAGGGTCATATTTGTATCCTTGAAATACTCTACTCTCCAGTTCATAGGGAAAGGTATCCTGGGGCCAGGACAAAGCCTACTCGAGATTCATGATTTTCCTGGAATATACCATAAAAAAGTCTGTCAAGCAGGTAACCAAGGGTTCAGTAGAGCTCTTTTACTGCTTCGTTCTGATCTGAAAGTTTCCCCTTTTCATCTGACTCTCAACCCAATGGAGTTGATTCATACACCCCTCTAGCCAGGTAATTCTCTGTCTCCACCTTTTCCCTTTTCCTTTAACCACCTAAGGTTCAATAAGCAGTGGAAGTAGTAGCAGAGAGTATGTCATCACTGATGGAAAGGATCCCACAGACCCTGACTGCTTTTCTGCTGGCTTTGGCTGAAGGAGACCTCTCAACTCTTCTGTTGGTGATTGCCTTCTACAAGAAGGAAAAAGTGATTCTGCATCAGTTAAAATACAGAATCACAAGGCAGTTCAAACTCAGCTGCTTTATAATTTGGCAACTGCAAAGTTAGCAGTCTTCCCTCCTCTCCCCTACTGATGCTCTCTCTAGAAGAAAAAAACAGTATGTAATACTCTACCGAGGGGGACAGTGAAACTGGCAGACCTGTGGAAACCTGTGCCTCTGGGCCTCTTCTGCCATCTGCTGACTCTAGTCTTCAAATTAATCACCCAAGTTAAAAAAACAAAAAAGATAAACCTTTCTTGAAACCTCTCATCTTAGAAGCCAGAAAGTTTCAAACTCCAGAGAAGTTCCATTTTGCAGGTCCTATTGTGTAGGTAGATAGCCCCCATCAAAGGCCTTTTGATCTTTGCTCTGCCCTCTTTTTCTTATCCCCTGCCTCTTCTTACAATTTGGAAGGTCTTTGACCTCAGGTGATTGATGATGACCCTTTCAGGGTCACTGCCTTCCATTTGAAATACTTCTCTTCCCTGATGACAACAACTTTGCAAATGAAATGGCTTCCAAGTAGTACAAGGTTAATGTCACAGTTCCTACTTTGCAGTGAGTCAGGCAAAATTGACCCCCTTACCTGTCCATATGGGTGGTTTTTGGGAGGGAAATCTCTGTGCCTCAAGTCTGGACAGACATCTGAGCATTGCTTCATAAACTACTTTTATGAGCTTTTCTTGGTATTAGATTAAATGTCAAGGGTGCCTTTAGAATTGTAAGAACCCTTCCCAGAACTGCTGAGTGGCTTTAATTTGCTTAAGTTGATTTGTTTTTTACTTTTAGTCCCTTTTTTCTTGATCTTTAACCATATCTAGGAGGTCTGGTTTTCGGTTATATCTATTTTCCTTTTGCAGCTTCTACTGTTGGCAGCTAGAAGTGTGCCTGAGTACTTAGTGCTGAGCTAATATGGGCTTTGAAAAGAGGCTTCTACTCTTGCCCTTTCAGTTCTTATATCTGTAAGATGGGAGTGACTGCTTTTAATGTCTCAGGGAAGAAGTAGTAAGTCAGTATATTAGATACAGACAGAGGCTCACTGTAAACACCCAAGTGGCAGCTCTTCACACTTTTCTTGGTTTAGAAATGGCCATTTATCTTTGGGTGCCCCATCCCTAAGGGCAAGAGACAGAACTGTCTGTCAGAATGACAAGTAGAGGGTGAATATAAGATTAGTTCTAGGAGTTACTTGTGTTCATTTGTTCCTGATATCTTTTCTAGTAAACAATTTTAAAACAAAAGATTTACTGTAAAATTTTTGTTTAGTCCCATTCTGTGATTTGGATCATCTTGAGAGCAAAGAGATGACTAACAGTTCAGGTTAAACATAATAATGATATATAATTTTGCCATGGAAATGACTTATCCTATTCTTGATTGGCCAGGGATCAGTTCTCTCTAGTTTCTTGTATATCATCAATAATTAATAATTGTATATAACTGCATATTTGTAAGTGCTTTTTGGGGAAGAGAGAGATCAGATGATAATATAGGTAACTCATGGGAAACCATTGTTGTTAATTTTTAAAATTACAACATATGTAAAGAAAACCTGACATATTTCTGAGACTCAGTATTATCACCTTTGTGTACAGAGTCAAATTATGAAATACCTATGTGTGATTCTTTGTGCATTTCTCATAAAATGTAATTTTATTTTAAAGTTATTTTATTCCAAGAGATAACCGTTAAGTTTAAATTAGGAAAATATAGTATTGCTGCTGTTAATGCTTTCACCCAGCAATATTTGAGAAGGTATCAGAATACACCTTTAATTTCTAAACATGTTTTCTAATATTGAGCATATTTTTTAGTATTCCAGAATTTTGCTTAACATGTAATTTTTCTCTGTCAAGGCCCATGTAATTGCTCATATTTTCTGAATGGGACAATTTGGGAACGTTGCATTTGTAAGATCACTCTCCTATTTTAAAATTACCTTTGTGTATACTTTGTAAAAATGTTGGCAACTGGTCTCAAAGAAGGTGTTTTTGTAGCATGTGATCTTATTATAAGGCTAATAAATATCTCTTTTTCTTATAAAAAGAACATCAGAAGCTGTTTTTGTATTTAAAAGCATTCCCTGTGGAGCTAGAATGAAGGTTATTTTTAAAGAACTCTTGTAGTGCTCCACGGCAAATTTTTTTCTTTGCCTCCCTGGCAGCTGTCCACATCAGAACACAGTTGCAGAAGTTGCAGAGATCACATTTGAATCACTGCCCCATAGTCCCAAGGAGGCTGATACCGAAGCTGTAGGGATATCTAGCAGTACTCTTCAACAGAAATGTGCCTCAGAGAGTCATGAGAGGTAGTATTGTGAGTTGGCTAATTCCTGCTCTCCATGTATTGGTATAACTCTGTTTCTTTATTTCCAGAAGCCTAACTCCTGTTTTTGTGTAAATTTTGGTTGCTGGAAAAGTCTGGCCCTGTAAAGCTTCTCTGCAATGCAAACTACTTTTTTCCTAGAAAATGGGGAATTTTTCTAGTCTTTTTTTTTTTTTTTGTAATTTCTGAAAATCCAACCCCCAGGCTAAGCCTGTCTTGTATTAAGGGAAATCACACCTGAGATAATCCAGGTCTTCCTGAAGTCACTTGTAAAATTCTTTCTGTTTCCTCTCCAGTCTTCAGAGTGATTTAATGCGCTCAGGTATTTGAAATCCTTAATGAATTACCTGACAACTCATTGGGTTCGAATGACCTGCATGACCAAATGAGTCAGTCATTGGCCTGCTATAGATTTGGCATATTAAAGAGAAACAATTGATTGGGTAATCAGCCATAATTAAATGCTCTTAATGTTCCAGGAATAACTAATTTCTGCTTTTAAACTTTGTTGCAGTCTTTTCCTTCAGATGCTTCAGGTAATGAGATGAGCAGCCTTAGACATTGGAAAATGTTTTGGGAGAATCTTAGGGGAAAGAAAGTGGATTAAGAGAAATCAGGGTCGAGTGCACTGGCTCACACCTGTAATCCCAGCACTTTGGGAGGCCGAGGCAGGCGGATCATCTGAGGTCAGGAGTTCGAGACCAGCCTGGTCAACATGGCCAAACCCCATCTCTACTAAAACTGCAAAAATTAGCCAGGCAAGGTGATAGGCACCTATAATCCGAGCTAGAGGCTGAGGAGGAGAATCGCTTGAACCCAGGAGGCAGAGGTTGCAGTGAGCCAAGATTGTGCCACTGCACTCCATCCTGGGAGATAAGAGTGAAACTCTGTCTCAATTAAAAAAACAAGAGAAATCAGGGTCCATCAGAAATACTTCTTAAGAGGAAGATTTTTGTTTTCTGTTGATGGGAGAAGCCCTGAAGTAAATCTTCCAGAAAGAGTATTTCTATCATTTTATGAATTAAGCTTAATTTGGAGCAGTGCTTAACCTTTGAGGAAATTGGCAAAAAGCATTTTTTAATCAGCCCATTGATCCAAGCTTGCAGAGTTGTAAATATTTCTATTTCAAGTTGTCTGTGTAGTGCAAAGCAGTCATCTTCCATCCTGGAATGTTCTCAAGGTGACATCTAGAGGATGCTGTGGTGATATCTCAGGAAGTTATTGATAGATTTGTATTTTGTATTGGAGAGGGAAGTTTTGGCAGGCAGCTAGTTTAAGCCAGGTCTCCTATTGTTAATGGTACTATAAAAGGGAGTATCCAAATTATTTAGATTCGCAGTGAGATTCTTCCTTCTTGCATAATTCATGTGGATAAAAGTAAACTTTAAAATTCTGGCACCAAAATAAAATGATTGAAATTTCCATGACTGTTTTTGCATTACTTAAGAACACATGCATCCTGGAACAAACCACAGTTAATCTGTGAACTGCACTCATGTCCATCCATGTCCACCAGAATTTTTAATGATTGCAAAATGGATAGGTTGGAGTCTTATTTTCTTGGCCAATTTCTGTACATTTTCATTTAGAGCACCAAGCTGTAAAAAGATCAGAAGACGTGTATTTGGTTATAGGAAGCCACATAAGAATGAGCAAAAGACTTAAACAGATCATGTATTGGGTTATCCAGCCTCCAGAAATCTATAGTGAGCCAACTGCAGTGAGCACAGGGCATTGTAATCTGAGACTAAGGTGACCACGGGATCTAAGGTGGGTGAGAGTATTCTTTCTTAGAGGCTTAAGAGTGCTACAGTAACAATTGATGACCTTAGAAGACTGGAAAAGATGACAAAAAGATGGATGTATAGATATCCTAGAGAAGAGGTTAATGAATGAATTAGTTCCACACCTCAAGAATAATAATTTATAACCAGCGACTGTGGCTGAGATTAAAACA